CGTTGCGGTTTCATTGTGGTAGGACTACCTGCAAACGCCTGGCAACAGGACAGGACGCAGTAACGAAGCTGTCCCGTGGACGCTGTCTACACGCATTACGTACCAATTGCCTCTAAACCGAACCAGCTGGGGACGTACCCTGGCTACCCTTGAGTGGTTTCGGTGGCATGTCAAAACGGGTGCCGGACTGTGGTTGTCATGTTTAGTCTAAACTCGAAGAAATGCCTTCACCGCAGACAGTCTTATGGAAAACTAAATTTCTCTCCTATTTATACAGCGAAGACAGATATTCACACGCCATAAACTTGCAGCGTTATATTTTTTTAAAGGTAACACTGCTGGGTATTCCAATACTTACCGAGGGACTAGGCATGCGACAACCTCAAAACGGACCGGTACTCGGCTTTTTCAAAACCTACACAGAGTCAACGACAAATTTTGTGAAATGTTAAATATAACTCGGAGATCTGTCAAGTTTTAAAAGGTTTTCAATTTTGGAATAATTCTGAGCCCGAACTTTCGTTGCATTCTCGTTTAGGGTTAGAGTCTCCAGGCTGTATAATTTCCAAATACGGCCCCCCATGCCCTTAGGAAGATGCTATAGAGAGCTCATCGCATATTCCAATGGATGTGGGCCATGTTGAACACTTCATAATGAGCACTAATAAACGCACAAATACCGTGCTGCTTGAATGACACTGCAGTTTTTAAAAATCTTATAATTACAGACCTTTAAAAGGCTAAATATGCGTTTTCTACTGTTTTGAAATAAAAAGGAAACGTTATTTACCATTCATTGAGTGCGAAAAAATAATATTTTTGATCAAGTTCACGAAATAGGGTTTAATTTACAAGGGCGCTGAAAATCACTGCGACGAATTCAAACTATTCCGCTTTCGCAGGCTGTTGGAAGGAGGCCCATTCAAAAGCTGACATCCCAGAGTGACCAGTGAATCACTGATTTATGCTACATGGCAATCAGTATCATAAATTCATTAAGGACTTCTTTACTAAACGAAACGTTTTAAAGAACTTCGATTAATACTTCTGGCGACTGTTCACTCCCTTCAGACGGTGAATATCCAGACGAAGTAGGTTACATTCCCATGAACTATACATATATTTGCAGAAGCATAGAACACCGACGGCAAAACGGGGCTGTATTAATTTAGTGAGATTTATCCGGTGGTGAATAATGGAAGCTGCTTGGATAATTTTGAAGATAATACTGTCGATCCAACGAGAGTCGGTGCCTCTAGCGGCATGAAAGCTCACACCGCAGCCTCCAAAATTGCCAGAAACCAAAATTTAACTTGCCAGTAACGATCTATAAGTTGCAGCACAAATGTAATAAATGAATCTTATACTGGGAGGGGAGTTGGTCTAGCACTTATTTCGAGATCGTTTGCGTGGGAGACTTCAGGGACAAATCAGTAAAAAATTTCGAAAAGGCTATCATCCTACGTGGCCGAGTCAGTATTCAGCTGTGTTTTGATCGCCGCCCGTGATTAGAGTCTCCAGGCTGCATATAAGGGAAATCATATAGTCTCCATGCTCCGAGGAAGATACTAAAGAAAGCTCATTGCATCTTGCAACGGATGTGGGCTGCTTTGTTTACTGCAAATGGAGCACCAATAAACGAACAGATACGATGCTATTTGAATGGAACTACAGTTTGTAATAAGACCTCATACTTACGGACTTTTAAAGGCTGAATATGCGGTTCTTACTAGTGTGAAATATTAGGAAAATGTGATTTTCTACCCAGCGAGTAGTTAAAAGAGAATACTGTTTGACCGTGTTCACGAAATATGGTCGAATATGTTAGGGCATCGAAAATCGTCGAAATAAATCCATTCTATCTAACTACTAATTTTTCATCCTTTGCGCTTTCTGCTGACAGACGAAGAAGGTGCATTCAAAGGGCGGCATCCCGATGTGACCAAAGAATCATTGAATTAGGCCGCGCGACGATCAGTCTTACAACCTCATTCAAGAAGTCTTCTCAAAGCGAAAACCTATTTCAGAACTTCGGTGAATACTTCGTGTGATTGTTGACGTCCTTTGGACAGTGAATACCCAGATGAAGTATGTTTAAACAACATTTTTATAAGAGGTTAAAGTTGTGTACATCATTTGCATAAACTATAAGTAAACTCATGCAAGCATCGAGCATTGACGACAGAGCGGGTGTGACTAATTTGGTAGGTTTTATCCAATAGTGATTATTGAAGGCTGTTTGGATAATTTTGGAGGCATTTCTGTGGATTCCACGGTGGTCGGCACTTGTAGCGATATGAAACTAACATCGCAGATCCCGAAAATTGTCAGAAACAAAAATTGAACTTAATGATAACAAAGCATTTTTTTCAGCCCAAATGTAATGACTGAATTCTGTACAGAGAGTGGAAAAGATTGGCCCAAAACTTATTTTGATACCATCTGCCCGGCAGACTTCATGGACAAATCGGTAGCTCTTACTGACCATCTGTAATGCACGTTAAGAATAAATTAACATCTGCCCACTGAACCGATACACACAAAAATAGTCGATTTAGAGCTCGATGAATTTTTTGTTACTTACTAAACAATCGTCACTTCCGCCGATGTCTGGCCAGATGGTACCTTTAAAATTTCGGCAAGGCTATCCTATTACGTGGTGGTGTCAGTATTCAGCTGTATTTTGATTGCCGCTCGTTATTAGAAAAAGCGACTGCGGTGCAAATTCGTCTCCCCCCACATACGGTTTTGGAAAATGTACTAGCTGGACATTTGTGGTCAGAAATACTACATATGCTCTTTACACCAGCTGAGGCGTATTCGTCGCAGGCGAAGTGAAAGACGATTTGCAACTCTGAGGGGCAAGATATCACTTATTTCCCAACGTTCTGGCACAGGGAGGGCTTTTTAAGTGATGAAAGATAAGAATTTGTAAAATTTGTCATTTAGGCCCAATCTGAAGTGCGAATATTTGGCAACATGTTCACCACGTTCGTCCTGTATACAAGAGGTCAACCCGGATATTTGATTTCCTTAGTCCTGTTCTCTAATCATAACATATGAAATCAAATTTTTAGTGTCCCATTGTGAAATATGCAAATACCTCTGCCTGAAAACATCATACGAGTCTGAGTTCTTCATGCCGTAGGTTAAGCGATACTCCTCAAAAATGCTGCCCTTATTACCCCGACTCTGAGCAAGCAATTACAGCCACTGATGTCGTAACCGTTTCCAGGACGTCTCTAAGTCGAGCGATCCCTCCTATGCAACAGAGATGTTTTCTATCGAAATGGGTGCCTTCTGACATTTCCTGATCACGGTGTTTTGCCAGTTTTCGTCCAGGTAATGCCACGCGCTCGTGAAAACAATTGTTTTCAGAAGATTTGCCCTTATGCTACTGACAGTAGCAGGTTTTTTACGTTTCGTATTTTCCCCTGCTATTAACTCCCCTGCAGGAGGCATCGCTGTTTACGATTTGCGTAATGACACCGACTGCTGAAGGCCTTCTAAAACCTCAGTTTGTTCCTGTCAAATGTGGTCTTTGCGGGGGAAAAACCTAACTTTCTGTGGAGTTCCGCTGACAGTGAACTTAAATTAAAGTTACTGGACTACATAAATAAAGACCGCAATTTTAAAAAATTGTACATAACTGTCTGGAAATCTTGAGCGACTGTCGTGCTTCCATTTGCATCGGACACATACTCGCTCTTGAATTTGCCTGTTTATTACTGAGCCAGCTAATCTTGAAACAAATCCCAAAAGTCCTCGAAATCAACTAAAAAGATATATTTTTGGGAGAAGTAGAATTTTTCTCACAACTGATTTCAAAATGCATGGGGGAGAATGTTTGTTCAAAACTTTTTATAGGCGTGTCTTGCTGTACGCGCCTATTTTTTCGCACAATACGACTAGAGTTGCTTAAATTGGCTCAGAGATATGTGCCGGGTGAGTTTGATTTCATGGACGTCAGAATAAGCTGCACCATCTTGGCTGCACAATTGTGGCAAAATCCGTGAGATAAGTGGTTCTACGTAGCGAAACAGGAAGAAACAACGAGAAAGATAATTTTTATTCAAGAGAGAAAAAGTTTCCTGCCTGACTGGGTCCCGTCAAGTGTAGAAGTTGTCGCCCGCATGTGTAACGTCAGTGAGCATTGAAACCCACGAATACTGGGTCAACTCTACTGCCAAAGGCTTTACACAGTGGGAAGTAAATGCGTGTGAGAGCTAAACCGTTAGGTTGGGTATAAAATAGAATGGCTATTCGCACACACTAACCCGTTAACCATAGACTGGGCTATTTTCCAGACATCCATAAGAGTTGCCTGATTTAAGTAGTACAGTGAGTAGTGAGTGCTCGATCTCATGAAATGTTGGCCAAAATTCTGAAATGCGTTTTCGACTAGGAAGGATTACTTAGGTGCGGTTGTAATACTTATTATCTTAAGGCATACTTCTCTAATATTCCGAACTTGGCAGAATATCATTTTTGAATGCACTGCTTTCCAGTCTCCTGTGGAAACTTTACTCGGCAAAAAATGGCTGCTTAAATAGCATACATTTTCACAGTTATTTTCAGTGGTCTTGCAAATTTAAGTATATTTTTTAGAAACTACAAAAAATATGCTTTCTTTCAATTGTTTGATGGCGCATCACGTCATCTTTATATTTTATACTCAAAAAGGAGTATAATCAAGTTTTAAAAAGGCTTCTAATTACGAGATTTTTTAAGATCATGCAATGCCCATTCATACAGCGTTGTGCCTGTACCTTTATCACTGCTCCTCATGAAATGTGCAACATAGTCCGCATCCGTTGCCAGATTTTATGTACCCCATATGATGTCCCTTTAAAGGCATAGGAGAATATGTGATTTTCTTTACGCGGAATGCATGCACCTTGTAGATTGAAATCACTAAGCGCTAATGACACGACTGATCTGGTTCCAAATTATTTGAAATTACAAAACTCGATTAAAAACTAATTATACTCCTTTTTGATATGCCACCCGGGAATGGCATTTTCACTACTATTGAAGCTCATGCTGTCTCCTCCCCTTTTGCTTTACAAGATCTTATGGCAAAATGGCTGTTTCGGCGTCTCAAATTTCTGACCGCTGATTCGGACACCATCGTCTGTTCGTCAACACAATTCCTGGAGAAGCTTAAAGGAGTAAGTCTCTTGCCAAATGGGGTCACGGTGTCTTCTGATGTCACGTCCCTCTTTACTTCTGTCCCCCAGGATCTGGCAATCGAGACCGTCGAGCTACTCCTACGAAGCAAATACAATGAAACCGAGAATCGTCTCGGACATGCCCGGGTCCTTCAGCTCGTAAAGTTCTGTCTGAGGACGTACTTCGCGTTCGACGAGACAATCTACGAACAGGTGAAGGGCACACCAATGGGCTCACCGATTTCGGGATTCATCGTTGGGGCGGTCCTACAACGGTTAGAGTCACTAGTCTTTCAACACCACAGACCGAGATTCTGGACTCGGTATGCGGAAGATACCTTCGGCGTCATCGAACGGGATCAGTTGTTAATGTTCAAAGAACGTCTCAATAGCGTCTTCCCGGACATACAGTGCGTGACCTATCTCATGAAATGTTGGCTGAAATTCTGAAATGCGTTTTCGATTAGGAAGGATTACTTGATCGCGGTTGTAATACTGATTATTTGACGAAAAAATCTTATAACGTTTCGGGCTCGGCAGGATGTCTGCTTTTGAATACACTGCTTTGTATTCTCCTGTGGAAGGCGTGCTCGATAAAAAATGACTACTTAAGTAACATACATTTTCCCATTGATTTTCGATGGTCTTGGAAATTCAAATATACTTTATAGAAACAATAAACAAAAATATGCTTTCTTTTAGTCAATCAATAGACAATCACGTCTTCTTTGTTTTTTATACTTAAGAAAGGAGTATAATCAGGTTTTAAAAAAGTTTCTAATTATGATACTTTTTAAGACCGCGAAATGTCCATTTACATAGCATCGTAACTGGCCGTTTACCACTGCTCCTCATGAATTGTACAACATGGTCCGCATCCATTGGAAACTTTTATGGACCCTGCATAATATCTTTTTAATGACATAGAAAAATATGAGATTTTCTTTACGCGGAACGCATGCACTTTGTAGAGTGTAGTCACTAAGCGCTAATGCAACTAATGATCAGACTCCAACTTTTTCAGCAATTAGAAAACTTTTTTAAAACCTAATTATACTCCTTTGTTAAGTATAAAATATAAAGAAGACGTGATTCTCTATTGAATGACTAAAAGAAAGCATATTTTTGTTTGTGGTTTCTATAAAATATATTTGAATTTCCAAGACCATCGAAAATCAACGGGAAAAACGCATGCTACTTAAGTAGTCATTTTTTACCGAGCACGCTTTCCAAAGGAGATTGAAAAGAAGTGCATTTAAAAACCGACATCCTGCCAAGTCCAAAATGTTATAAGAGTATGCCTTACGATAATCAGTATCACAACCGCGACCTAGTAATCCTTTTTAATCGAAAACGCATTTCAGAATTTCAGCCAACATTTCTTGAGATCGGTCACTCACTGTACAATTTACGATGGGGAGGAAGAAAATAGCCAACTGGTCTTCCTTGATGTCCTCGTCTGTCGCAAACATTGTGGTGGCCTAGAGACAACCGCGTTCAGGAGAGCGACGAACACGACGCAAATACTTAAGTTTAACAGCAACCACCCAATCAGCCACAAACTCAGTTGCGTAAGGACGCTATATCGGCGTGTTGAGACGCACTGCAGTGAACCGGATGGCAAGGTTACCGAATTCTAATATCTTCGACGGCTTTTCAGAAAAAAGGGTTATCCGCACAACTTCACCAGCCAGTGCCTGCGTAAACAAGACGAACGACAAAATCGTACCGACCCCAAATTCTGGAGAGCGATCACGTACATCAAGAACGTCTCCGAGGCCGTTGGTCGCTTACTCGCACCACTCGGAGTTGGAGTTGCACGCAGATCGGAGGCCACTATAAGACGTCAGGCGATGGGACCAAAGGACCCACTGCCACGGCAAAAAACGTCTTGAGTCGTTTATCGGATCTGGTGCAGTTGCGGGCAAAACAAGTACGTCGGAGAAACTGGAAGACTGCTCCAGACGCGAATTTCCAAACACGCGGCAGGGGTGTAAAGAAATGACGCCAACTCTCAGGTCGCGGTCTATTCGACGAGACCCGGCCACACATTCAAGTTCGATGAGGCCGAAATTATCGCGAGAGGGGACAATCGCGTGAGCCGCGAGTTGCTTGAGTCACGGTTCACGGGACCTCAGTCTACCAACAAGTGCAACGACATCCCCACTCCATATTCCGTGTTGAGGCATAGTTTGACCAAAGTAATTAACCACTCGGTGAGGACGCAGGCCGGTGAACCAGATGACCGAGCAATCATCACGCCAGCATCCAACATGGATAATGAGATTTCAGCAATTAACAACTTACATGCCGTCCATCAAGCAAGTAGTGCACTAGTGGGCAACACTTCTGCTGACGGGGAACGCAGGCAGGCTTCTAGGCCTAGACTTTGCACGCCTTGATAGTTTTAAACGCGTTAGAATTGTGATATCCAGGAGTACGCTGGCATGCCATGAGAGCGAATTCTGCAGTGTCGGTTGCACGCTCTCTTACCTCTCCCATGCACCAGTCGACTGTCCATGTCTGCCAATCTACTGGAGTTAAAATTAGGCCCGACCAGGACAACCCGTCTGCGCGTGGCATACACGATTTGATTACTTCATTGATTGCAGTAAAGCAAAGAACGTGCAATGACCGAATGTCCTTGAGCAATGTTTTAGATGAAACGGGCGCGAAAGATGCGTATTGGTACCCCTGACACTGGTATGCTAGTCTCACTGCAATGAATTCTCACGAGCCCGAGCAGGCTAATGCGTACCACAAGTGTGCGGTGGCACACTGAGCTGTCAGTGTGACGCTGATCGATTATCCGATTCTGTAAATCTGACATTCGCTGACGCGGAGTAATGGTCTATGATTAAGATATGCTACGCGTACAGCAGTTAGAACATGCGGAGATATCAAAAAAAACTCCTTCCCCTGAGAAAATTAGATTATCAAACTTAAGGCGAAGTCGGTTAAGTTCGCCACCGGACTTTTTAGTGCATTTTTCATGCTCTCTAAGTCCACCGCCATCATAACACCGCCCACCTTTTTGTTTCGGGGCAAAAGCGTCCCAAGCTCACTCGCGAAAAGACACAACTGTTCGAGCATCGACTTCGACGATGTTCTCTGTGTGCTCCAGGGACGATGGATTGCGCTTGAAATAGTTTATAGTGATAGTCGACTTCCGCAGCATCTACTGCACTCTTTTCTCCTCCTCCTCCTCACCTGGGCCCGGTGTCATGACCAAGTTAAGAAGACAAAAGGTGGGAGAGTTCGTGGGTGGATGGCACGGTGGAACCTGCACCTAGACGTACCACTACACCCCCTGGTACACAAACGGACACTAACCACAATTTCATATATCAAGAAAAGATTGGCAGGGGTGGATCCTATTTGGCGTGACGTGAGACGACAACCGAGCCTGACCCCGCATACCGAGTATTGGCATTTGTTATGGGGATGCAATTGTCGTAAATAGTAATGTTCTCTCGAACTAACGAGTTATATCTCAGGAACCCCTAGCCTTAAAGTCTGCAAGTAAAACGGAGCAGTGAATAATAACGAGATTTTGAACGTTACGAAAACTGACAATAGAACACGACAACAGAGCACGCTAGCAAGGCGGGTTGTACAGGTGTGTCGTTTTTCGTCACACTCAAACAAGCAATGCGGTCAAAGAAAACATGACTAAATTGTCAGAGGTAAATTAGTCCGGTACCTCACCACAGTACCCCCCTTCTAGACCGGAGGGCGACGGAATACGGCGCCGGAGCAAATGCATAAGTCAAGAAAAAATGCGTAACTAAACGATCCGGGAATTGAACATGACGGCCACTGTGAGTGATGTACGCAGGAGGTACAGTCGAAAAGGGTTGACTGCGTGCTATGGTGGACGATGATGTTGCAGTCGGATGCTGTAGACGTGTAGGGAGAGGAAGTATGCGGGACGGAGGAGTAGAGGGCAAGGGAGGGGAAGGGCGAGGCAGTTGGCAGAGTGAATGAGCAGGGGATAGGGAAGACGGAGGAACAGGGGCTAGAGGGTCAGCACATTTTTATCCTTGTGACAGATCCGGCGGCTCCTCTGCAACAGCAGCCTTGACCCGATCGACACCGACCACGTCCTCCTTGCCACCGCGAAGAGTCCGGCAAGTCTTGGCGTCGAGCGCGAGCACGCGGAACGGTCCTTCGTATGGTGATTCCAGCGGCTGGCGCACACGGTCACACCGGACGAACACATGAGTACACTTGTCCAAGTCTTTTTCGACTTAAGACTCAGTCATTGGGGTTCGAGATGGAACCGGGGAAAGCGAGCGCATAAATTGCCGCAAACGGTGCACAAGGTTATCGGGAGTCTCGTCGGCCCTACGAGAGGTTGGGGTGATCATCTCGCCTGGCAGTCGGAGGATAGAGCTGAAAACCAATTCAGCTGCGTTACAGCCCAGATCCGACTTCAGAGCTGCGCGGATGCCGAGGAGGGCAAGAGGAAGGTTGTCCGACCAGTTTCCTGGGTCTTCCACGGCAAGCAGGACAGTCTTTAGCTGGAGATGTAAACGCTCAACCATACCGTTGGCAGCTGGGTGGGTGGCATTTGTTATGGGGATGCACTCTCGACAACGCCGGCCGGAATCCGCTGTTAATCCAGCGCGTCTACCGCGTGACCCATGGTAAAACATGCACACATACACACTCTCGGAACGAATACTCCCACTGCAAAGTGGTTTCACCAGGTGCGTTGACCTGCAGTCCCTCGAATAAATTCAGCTCGGACGTTAGTGCCTCCAGACTGTTCATAGGCGTCCTTCATG